TTATTAAAATGTCTATACTACCCAAAGCAATCTACATATTTAATGCAATCCCTATCAAAATACCAACAGCATTTTTCATGGAACTAGAACAAACAATTCTAAAATTTGTATGGAACCAGAAAAGACCCCAAATAGCCAAAGAAATCTTGAAAAAGAAAAAAAACAAAAAACAAAAAACTGGAGGCATCACAATTCCAGACTTCAAGTTATATTACAAAGTTATAGTAATCAAAATGGTATGGTACTGGCACAAAAATAGATACATAGGTCAATGGAACAGAATAGAAAACCCAGAAACAAACCCGCAATTAAATGGTTAATTAATTTTTGACAAAGGAAGAAATAAAATGCAATGGGGAAAAAGTGTATCTTCAACAAATGGTATTGGGAAAACTGGACAGCAACATACAAAAGAATGAAACTGGACCACTTTCTTACACCGTTCACAAAAATAAACTGAAAATGGATTAAGGACCTAAATGTGAGACATGAAACCATAAAAATCCTAGAAGAGAGCACAGACAGTAATTTTTCTGACATCAACTGTACCAACTTCTTTCTCAATATGTCTCCTGAGGCAAGGGGAACAAAAGCAAAAATAAATTATTAGGACTACATCAAAATAAAAACCTTCTGCACAGCAAAGGAAACAATCAACAAAATTAAAAGACAACCTATGGAACTGAAGAAGGTATTTGCAAACAACATACCTGATAAAGGGTTAGTATCCAAAATATATAAAGAACTTATACAACTCAACACCAAATAAACCAAATAATCCAATTAAAAACAGCAGAAGACATGAACAGACATTTCTCCAAAGAAGACACGTAGATGGCCAATAGACACATGAAAAGATGCTCAACATCACTCATCATCAGGGAAATACAAATCAAAACCACAGTGAAATATCACCTCACACCTGCCAGAATGGCTAACATTAACAACACAGGAAACAGCAGATGTTGGCAAGGATGCAGAGAAAGGGGAACCCTCTTACACTTTTGATGAGAATGCAAACTGGTGCAGCCACTCTGGAAGACAGTATGGAGATTCCTCAGAAAATTAAAAATAGAACCACTATATGATCCAGTAATTGCACTACTGGGTATTTATCCAAAAAATACGAAAACACTAATTCACCCCAATGTTTATTGCAGCATTATTTACAATAGCTAAATTATGAAAGCAGCCCAAGTGCCCACTGATAAGATGAATGGATAAAGATGTGGTATATATATACAACAGAATATTATTTGGCCATAAAAAAAGAATGAGATCTTGCCATTTGCAACAATATGGATGGAGCTAGACAGTACAATGCTAAGCAAAGTAAGTCAGTCAGAGAAAGACAAATACCTTATGATTTCACTCATTCGTGGAATTTAAGAAACAAAACAAATGAACAAAGGAAAAAAGAGTGAGAGAGAGAGAGACAAAGACAAGCCAGGAAATAGACTCTTTTTTTTTTTTTAAAGATTTTATTTATTTATTTGACAGAGAGAGACACAGCGAGAGAGGGAACGCAAGCAGGGGAAGTGGGAGAGGGAGACGCAGGTTTCCC